GGAAAACCCGTGAAATATGCGCAAGGACTTGAGCTACAGATCAATCCTGTAAAGTTTCATTGAAATTGCATTAGTGGTATAAGAGAAGTAGTCCGGGCAAACTTTAAAAATAAAAATTATTAAAGGGCCATAACTCAAACAAAAATCATTGAACCGGAAAATGCTGACAATATGCACAACTAGACTTGGTACTGATCATTCCTGTAAAGTTTGGATGAAATTGCACCTGTAGTTTATGAGGAGTAGTCCGGACAAGCTTTTGTGTATCTGGCAACACACAGAAAAAGAAACCTTTTTATCAAAGGGCCATAACTCGGCCAAAAATCATTCAACCGGAAAACCCTTGCAATATGCGCAAGGACTTGAGCTACAGATCAATCCTGTAAAGTTTCATTGAAATTGCATTAGTGGTATAAGAGAAGTAGTCCGGACAACCTTTAAAATTAAAAATTATTAAAGGGCCATAACTCAAACAAAAATCATTGAACCGGAAAATGCTGACAATATGCACAACTAGACTTGGTACTGATCATTCCTGTAAAGTTTGGATGAAATTGCACCAGTAGTTTATGAGGAGAAGTCCGGACAAGTTTTGTGACGGACGCACGGACAGACAGACAGACAGACAGACAGACAGACAGACGGACAGACAGACGACGGAGAAGTGATCCCTATATGTCGCCACTACTCCGTAGAGGCGACACAAAAATGGCATGAAGGCAACCTAAATATTAGGTTTGTATAGGTATAGGAAATGGCAGAGTCAACCTTAATGTTAGATATGTACATTGACAGGAAATTATAGGGGATTCCACCAGTCATTTACTGCTAGGGCTGATGAACCTAATAAACTTCAACCAAATCTATAGAAAAGTTTATAAAATAAAATGATTAAAACAAAGGAAATAACCTTGTAATGAAACTTTTCTGTCAAAGCGAAACAAATTTGAGGGTAACTTCTGAGTTATCTGCCTTTGAATCAGAATTTTTTTACTTATTTGAGGTCATTTTAAGGGCAGATAACTTACGTGACTGTATAATCTTGTTTTTACTTCTGGATGTTTTTCTTTTTATTGTTATTACAATACATAATTACAGGTAATTCCATCTTATTTCTGTTATTTTTTTAGTTTGAATAAAGGTAATAAATTTCTTTTCGAAAAATAGGCCATTTTTTAAGTAAAAAAAGTCACATGTTTAGAAAAGAAGGGGGGAAAAAAGCAAATCTACTTACTCTTTATCCTTTATTGAAATTTTGCACATTGACTCAAATGGAAGTAAACTATATAAAATAGGCAAAAAAATAGGTTTTGTTTACCTTTATAGTGAATTAATATCTGCCCTTGATTTGATCATTCAACAAAGAGAACGGTGACACCCCCCCCCCCCCCCCCCCAATTTTTTTTTTTGGCTTAAAATTTAAAATGTTACCATTATCATATTTTAACATGCCAAATTCTAATAAAGTCTATTGAACAGTTTTAATTTTGCCTATATGTCTATATGAAAACTTCCAAAAAGGTCTTTAAAGATGTTATTCCACTACAAAGTACAAAGGGCCATTTACACTGTATATGAAACATCTTTTTCAAGTTCATCAAACTGTACCTTATCTTTACTCCTGACTGTACATACATTTTTTCAGACAAGTTTAAAGTGTATAAAGCTACATGTATATAACAGATGGAAAAATTATTATTTGAATTTTTAAAAAAAGTATACTTCCAAAATGCTTGTATAAAATAAATATGGTAATTTATTGCCTTAAAAGCAAAATTAATGGTGCATGCAGAAAATCATTGCTAAATGGATAAAACCCTTCTTAAAATAGCATAATAATATTTTAATGTACCAGAACATTTTGTTCATAGATATTCAGAAATAATTTTGTTCTGTTTGGTTAATACAGAATTTATTTTAGTTCGATTGTGTAGGAAGCTATAAGCTTATATACACACTTTCGAATTCATTCATGGAACAAACCAGTACTGAGCAATGTGTGTGTGCAAGTTTCTTGCTCAAGGAAACAACGACTTGCCCCTGACAGAGTTTGAACTCATGCGACTAGAGATCATTAGATTACTAGTCCGACGTGTTAACCACTCGGCCATGCCGCCACTATTCTCTTTATCATTATTCATGTGTATTAAATAACGGAGACATTCTATGTTACAACTTTTTCAGGAATCAACCATACAATAATGGATTTAGTTTTGTTGTTTGTTTCATTTTACGCCTTTTCCCGAACAGTATTTCAGTCATATAGGCGGATAGTTTCCTAACCATCGTTCCTGGAGAGTTACACCGGTACTAGACTACCTTCCTCCGCGCTAAACTACCAAAGCATCTCCGGGGGATCAAACCCATGCCAGAGAGGTAACTGCATTAGAAGTCATCAATTCTAACCCCTCGACCACGGAGGCACCAATATAGTTTGACTTTTGATAAATTTTATCAGAAAATTTCATAAGATAATACCCTTAAAGAATCACACAGAATAATTCAAAGTCCCCAGAAGCATGAGATATCTTGCAGAATTTTTAACAACCAAGTCACCAGAATGCATCAAATTATGTAGAAATATTACACATACTATTACAGGGTTTGCAAAATTATTGTAACAAAATCATAATTCTGGTTTATTTTATATACAGAATTTATTTTAGTTTAATGGCGTAGGTAGCTTAATTTAAAGCTTATAGACACACTTTCAAATCCATTCCAGAAATCAACTAGTACTGAGCAATGAGTGTAAAGTTTCTTGTTCAAGGAAACAACAACTTACCCCTGAAGGGGTTTGAACCCATGTGGCTAGCTTACTAGTCCAGCATGTTAACCAGGCCTCGACATTAGCGGTGGTCCGTTGGTCCGAGACCACTTGGTTTTGGCAAGGACCACCTAATTTTAAAACCCACTGGTCCGTCGGACCACTTGAATTTTCTGGTTGATACAAGGCTTATTTGGGAGAATGGCGATTTGGTCAAAAACATGTTATATACTTTTGTTTAAAATCATTAATCTATGTCCGATGTACATGTATATGTTTCATTAATCTCTGATTAGTTACAGAAGTTCTTAAGTCATCAATAACTTTCATTTTAAGTCGCTAAAATTTTGTTTATGCAAGTTAAAAGAGTTAAGAATTTGTGATATAAATTTAGGTACAAAATTCATTCAAATGGTGCTAGTAATTATGCATTGTCTGATTACCTCGGCGGAACCATTAACATTTTATGTTATGTTACATATTAATCAACCGGGAGTATCCGATGATGGTGATTATATGATATTGGATAAACTTAAATTTCAGATATTTGAATAACGGCAGCAAACGAAAGGAACTGGAAAAAATACATCTAGTAATTCTATGCTATTTATCTTTATTTTAACTGTTTAACGATAAGAGATCTGTTTCTTCTAGAGTTAAAATTATTTTAAAAGGTTAAAAATACCTAATGTCAAAAATGAATATCAAATAACAAGCAACAGGGAGGTAAAATTATGTATTATAAATATGTGAGAAAATATAAATATGTGAGAAAAATAAGATAAGTTATAGTAAATAATAACGTTGTCATTATTTTAATAATTTATATATTTCCTTGTTTTCAAAGACAAGAATAAGATAATTTATTAGTTCCATTAAAAATGTTAATCTATAAAAGATGCTATGTTATTTATAATCATGATTATAAGACATACCACGTATCAGCAATGGATATTTGAATAACAGTAAGAAAATAACAGACACAAATGGCTTCACTATATATTCCCTAACTTGAGTTGAGGGAGAAATCACATTAATATAAAAGATAACATAAATAAGAGCTCTGCTGTGTATTTTTGACTCAGATAAAAACAAACAAGAAACATGGCAATGCCATGAAACCAGGTTTTCAATTATCACCATTGTAGATAAATATGTTGTATTTGAAATACAAATACAAGCAACAAACAATGTAACTATGTGCAATGTAAAACATGAATAATGTAGGAGGAATTGCCACTGAAGAAGTGTTCACTATAATATTATGTATAAGGAAAAAAACAAAGGGCCATAATTAGGTCAAAAACTATCCAATCACAAAACCCCGACAATATGTGCCAGGGTGCTTGATGACAAAGCTTCTGTGAAAGTTTGAACAAAATCCGTTGAGAAATGTAGGACGAGTTCAGCACAGAAGAATTTGTTCACTATAATTATATTGATAATTCTGTATAATGAAAAACAAGTTACAAAGTAGACATGAAATAATATATCATATCTTTTTTAAATTACCTCCAAAGATGATATGACCTTTGACTGCCAAATCAAGTTAAAATCATGTAAACAGGATTTTCAATGTTAATGTCACTGTGACCTTGACCTTGGAGCCAGCCATGCGGAACATGCGTTCTGCACGTCATCTTGATGTGGTAAACATTTGTCTGAAGTTTCATCAAAATTCTTCAAAGGGTTGAAGAGTTACAGAGCGGACAGTATTTTCAATGTTAATGTCACTGTGACCTTGACCTTGGAGCCAGCCATGCGGAACATGCGTTCTGCACGTCATCTTGATGTGGTAAACATTTGTCTGAAGTTTCATCAAAATTCTTCAAAGGGTTGAAGAGTTACAGAGCGGACACAATTTCGTTTGACGCCGCCCGCCCGCCCATCCGCCCATCCGCCCATCCGCCCATCCGCCCGCCATACCCCAATCTAATAACCAGGATTTTCAAAATTGAAAACCTGGTTAATAAACAAATAACTCTACGATAAAATACCTACTGACTTGCTCTCCCTTTTCTGATTAGATGAAAATTATATATCTAAAAATATCTGCTCTCTTTAAAGGTTAATAATACATCTTTGTCATAAAGTTTAAACATTTTTTTTGTACATTTGCAGTAAAATGATATAATAATGATAACTGACCACCTGACTTCTGGAAGGACCACCTAACTTTCAAATCTAGTGGTCCGGCATACCACCTGCTAAAAAAGTTAGTGTCGAGGCCTGTTAACCACTTGGCCTTGCCGCCACTATCTGCAAAGGCAGGTTACATTTGAAGTCACACCAAATCACACTATTAACTTCTTGACACATTACAATTTCAAATTCAAACGTAAATTTCATTAATATTAAAGGAACTCCACTGAGGTTTATAAGGCTAAAACATAAAATTTCAATTTTTCACATAGATCAACACGAGCACTTAAAACAGAAATATAAATAAGATATAACTAAGAAATATACAAGAAATACATTGAAAATCGTATGTTTGTGCTATTCTCAGTCCGATTTGAGTAAAAAGCGTTTAAACGCTTTTCAATTTTGGGTCATTTTTCACTATTATAATAATTATTCTGGAGAAACGGAACGAGCTAATGATCTGAAATTTTGCACATAAGTTATTAATATAGATCTACATCAAATGGAGTAATAATCTCAAAAAATTGTTTCCAGTCCTGTCATGTCTTAAAACCTCGGTGGAGTCCCTTTAAAGAGAATAACATTCAGTAAACTCATAAACTTCACTTACTAGCTTATCAACTGGATAAAGTCTTTGAATTTCTGTATTGCTTCGTGTCCTTTCAAGATATTCTTGATAGCCACTTTGCAACCCATCTGAAAATAAAAAAACCCAACATTTTGCTATTAATGTTGTACAGGTATAATCTGAATGTGTTTGACAACTTTGAAATTCATCATTACAGGTATACCTAAAATTGACAATAAAGCTTTTTAAATGAACATATAAGAAAGTAAATTAAAAGTTTAAGGTTTCCCTATGAATAAATAGGCTACTTACATGTAAAGCATTTGCAAAGAACTAAATTCAAATGTTGTTCACTGCAGTAAGGATTGGTTGAAATCCCACCTGTGAAGGCCTGACAAGATTTTACTATTTTAAGCTCTGGGACCACTTTGTGCAACAAAGCGGAACATACCGGCCATGTGCACTGATTACTCCTGTAAAGTTTGGTTGAAATCCCACCAGTAGGTTTTCCTGTGAAGGCCAGACAAATTTTTGTATTTTTAGATCTGGTAGCCATTTTGTGCAGTGAAGCGGAATATGCGGCTGATCTGCACAACTAGGGATGGCACTGATCCTCCTGTAAAGTTTGGTTGAAATCCCACCAGTAGTTTGACCTGTGAAGGCCAGACAAGCTTCATGCAGACAGCCAAGGTAAAAACAAAATGTCTCCCAAAAGTTTTTGAAGACATAATTATATGCACTTGATATAAGCATTTAAAGTCTAATTCAGAGGCAGACAACTCAATAAAGAGGACGGTGACCCCTATATTGTTTTCGCTTAAAATGTTTCCATTATCATATTCTAACAACAAGTTTAAATAAATTCTATTGAACAGTTTTAATTTTGCCTCTTTGTCTATATGAAAACTCCCAAAAACATCTTTAAAGATTTTATTGCACTACAAAGGGCCATTCCACAGGTATTGCATGGTAAGCGATTAGTTTTGGCATGGATGAGCATGTGATCTGTAAACCGTACACGTTTAATTGACATTTTTGAAAACCTAGCTTAACACTGTTTTCCGTTACCTTGGGGATTTAGCTCTTTGGAATAACACCTAATTAAGTTTCATGACTCTACGTCAAATACTTTTTGAGTTATGTGCGATACAAGTTGAAAATTGTAAATTTTTACTAAGTCAAGGGCAATAACTTTAAAAATACTAAATATATCCACTCAAAAATACCCAGATGCACAACTTCACATGCAGAACAATATTCCTGTAAGGTTTCATGACTCTAGTTCAAATACTTTTTGAGCTACATGCGACACAGGTTAAAAATTGCAAATTAACATTAAGCTGGTTGATTCTAACTCAAGCACTGGAGGAACAAATAACACAACATAATGAAATGGTTTTTACTAAGTAAAGGGCAATAACTCTACAAATACTGGATAAATCCACAAGCGAACCCCAAAGTGCATAAGTACATATACTGAATAACATTCTAGTAAACTTTCAGGCCTGCAGGTCAAATACTTTGTGAGCTATATGCATGAACAAGCTGAAAATTGTAAATTTTTACTAAGTCATGGGCAATAACAGAATAAATCCACAAGCAAAAACCAAAAAGCACAACTTCGCATGCTGACCAACATCCCTGTAAAGTTTCATGACTACGTCAAATACTTTTTGAGTTATGTGCAACACAAGTTGAAAATTACAAATTTTTACTACGTCAAGGGCAATAACTGAGAACGGACAAAGGATGGATGGATGGACAAATGGATGGACAGGGGTAAATCTAAATGCTCCCCCCCCCCCCTAAAATGGGGACACAAAAGTTCATTAAATATTTGAGAGAATCACAAGCAGTAAACTCTAAAACTCACTTACCAGTTCATCAACTGGTTAAAGTCTCTAAATTAAACATCAAGTATGTCTGTTTTGCCTCATGTCCCACTTGCAAGATATCCTTGGTTATCATACCATTGGCTCTCTCAAATAATTGTCTTTTGTAGCCACTTTGTAACCCACCTGAGAATAGAAAAAAAATTGTTTGTTATTAATGTTTACACAGTACATGTATAATGTAAATGTGTTTACAAATTTAATTGTAAGTTAATAACTTTGAAATTCATCATTACAGGAATATACCTAAAATTGACATTAAAGAAGTTTAAATGAACATACAAGAAAGTAAATTAACAGTTTAAATTAACATTCTTATGTCTAAATAGGCTTACTTACATGTAAAGCATTTGCTAAGAATTAAATTCAAAATGTTGTTGGTCAATTGTACTTACTACTACATGGACATGAAAATAACTTGGCATTAACTGTGCAGACTGCAGTCTGGCCATAAATTTTTGGTTGATTACATTTTAATTTTCATCTTGATATCCCTAAATATTTGTCATGGATCAGAACAGTTCACTAATTAGAGGAGATGGTGTGTAAGCAGACGGACAGCTCATTTGGTAGTACCTCAGTATGGTTTTCAAAGGGTCCCGGATTTGAGTCCCCATCAGGCTGCACATTATGACACTCTATGACATTTGGCCCCCAACGGGAGACTGTGAGTACATATTGCTAAGAGATTAATTTATATTGCTCTGTAACATGTGAAATTAGAGGACGAATTTCAATATAGCCAGGAAGTATGTCATGGTTCAGAACTGTTCACTTTTTAGGGGAGAATATTTGCCAGCCGCTGGATAGTTAAGCCATGGGACAGTATTGCAAGGGTCTAGGGTTTGAGTCCCAGTCAGGTTGCACTTTTTTTTCACCCTGTGACATATTGATAATGGATAGTTCTTAATAGACAATTTAAGAATTTCAGCAGATGAAGGGTGAAATAGATCTATGATAGAATTGCGATGCAGTAGTTCAGTGAAAACACTGTCTAACTAAAAGTCAAGGGGTCAAGAAAGTTGAATAAGGGGCATAACTTGGTCAATATCTATGACAGAGTTATGTTATCTTGCAAAAATGGGCATGTTGGTCACTAACAAGTATTCAAAGTCTCAAAGTAATAAACCTCAATGGATATAGAAAATAAGTGAGGTGGTACCAAATGTGTATTCCAGACCCAACGCCAGGGTTCGACCCTCTCCACTTTACAAAGACCTTCTACTATTAATCTGTTACATTTATTGTCAATATAATTCTCGATACAAACGTTTTTTTAAACAATTTTGAAAATAGTTAAATGAAATATCTTTTAATCATTAAAACTTTTCTCCGCAGGAAACCATTTTAACTTGTTGTATATGGAACATTTTTATCCAGATTCACACTATTTTCACCAAACTGTACCTTACCTATACTCCTGACTGTACCTACATTTTTGAAGAGACACAAGTTTTAAGAAACACACAAATTAATTCAAAGTCCCTAGAAGCATTCAGCAGCAAGAGATATTTTGCAGAATCTTTAACAACCAAGTCACCCAATGCATCAAATTATGTAGAAATATTTACACATGTACAATTACAGGGTTTACGAAATTATTGTTACAACTAAATCTTAATTCTGGTTTATTTTATTTAGTTTGATTGTGAAGGAAGCTATAAGCTTATAGAGAAACTTTCGAATCCATTCCTAGAATTAACCAGTACTGAGCAATGAGTGTAAAATTTTTTGTTCAAGGAAACGACTTGCCCCTGAAAGGGTTTGAACCCATGCAGCTAGGGATCATTAGATTACTAGTCTGACCCTTTAACCACACAGCCATGCCGCCACTATCTGCAAAGGCAGGTTACATTTGAAGTTATTAGCTTCTTAACATGTTAAAATTTCAAATTCAAATGTAAACTAGAAATGTATCCATAGGACACGGGTGCCCCCACACTCCATTGATTTGTCAATCTTATGACTTTAGGTCAATTATTTTTTGGGCTACATGTGCCACAAGTTAAAAACTAAAAATCTTTTACTCAGCTTTACAAATACTGAATAAATTCACAAGCAAACCCCAAGGTGCATAAGTACACATGCTGACCAACATTCTTGTAAACTTTCAGGCCTGCAGGTCAAATACTTTTTGAGCTATGCATGAACAAGTTGAAAATTTCAAATTTATAATAAGTCAAGGGCAATAACTCTTACAAAACTGAAAATATTCACATGCAAATCCCAGGTGCCTAGCTTCACAGTGATGTTGATCATTATTCCTGTAAAGTTGGTTGATTCAAACTCAAGCACTGGAGGAACAAATAACACAACATAATGAAATGGTTTTTACTAAGTAAAGGGCAATAACTCTACAAATACTGGATAAATCCACAAGCGAACCCCAAGGTGCATAAGTACATATGATGACCTACATTCTTGTAAACTTTCAGGCCTGCAGGTCAAATACTTTTTCAGCTATGCATGGACAAGCTGAAAATTGTAATGTTTTCTAAGTCATGGGCAATAACTTTAAAAATACTATTATGTCCACTCGAAAATACCCAGGTGCACACCTTCACATGCTGAGCAATATTCCTGTACGGTTTCATGACTCTAGTTCAAATACTTTTTGAGGTATGTGTGACACAAGTTGAAAATTGCAAATTTTTACTAAGTCAAGGGCAATTACTCTAACGAAACAGAATAAATCCACAAGCAAATTTCAGGTGCACAACTTCGCATGGACAACTTCACATGCTGAGCAATATCCCTGTAAGGTTTCATGACTCTATGTCAAATACTTTTTGAGCTATGTGCGACACAAAATGAGAACGGATGAAGGATGAATGGACGAATGGACGGACAGGGGTAAATCTAAATGCTCCCCCCCCCCCCAAAAATGGGCGCAAAAAAAGTTCATAAAATATTAAAGAGAATCACAAGCAGTAAACTCTTAAACTCACTTACCAGTTCATCAACTGGTTAAAGTCTCTAAATTAAACATCAAGTATGTCTGTTTTGCCTCATGTCCCACTTGCAAGATATCCTTGGTTATCATACCATTGGCTCTCTCAAATAATTGTCTTTTGTAGCCACTTTGTAACCCACCTAAAATTTAAAAAAAAAATTGCTACATGTATTTATGTTTACAGTACATGTATAATGTGAATGTGTTTACAAATTTAATTGAAAGTAGACAACTTTGAAATTCATCATTACAGGAATACCTAAAATTGACAATTAAGTTGTTTAATTAAACATACAAGAAAGTAAATTAACAGTTTAAATTAACATTATTATGTTTCCCTATGAATAAATAGGCTACTTACATATATAAAGCATTTGCTAAGAACTAAATTCAAAATGTTGTTGGTCAATTATACTTACTACTACATGTACATGAAGTTAACTTGGCATTTACTGTTATCTTGTGAGTGTGTGAAAAAAGGATCATGTGACCCTGTATTTTGTCAGTGTTACAGTTGGATAAATTATTGTGCAGCAAGGGGCTTTACTTTGTGCTGTGATCCTTATCCTCAATTATCAATCAATTAAAACTGACCACTTTACCAGTCACCAATAAACAGGTACAATTGGATTAAGAGAGGATAATTGGCTGTTGCAAATACACTATTATTGAGGTCTTAAACCTTTAACTTGCTGAAAAAAAACTTATAAAGCTTTGCCATCAGTATAACCCCAGGTCAGTCTGCACATCTGTGCAGTCTGACCAGGCTCTATATTTTTGTTTGAATAAATTTTAATTTTGATTTTGATATCCTAAAATATTTGTCATGGTTCAGAACTGTTCACTAATTAGGGGAGATAATGTGTAAGCAGTCAAACAGCTCAGTCGGTTGAGCTGCGACACGGTATTCCGTGTATTCCGGCTGCACATTTTCCTCACTCTGTGACATTTGACCCCTATTGAGGGGCTGTGGCTACATAATTTCAGATCAAGAGTTTAATTTACATTGCTCTGTAACTTTGTGAAATCCAATGACAAATTTTTAGAGGGGATTGAGTACGTCATGGTTCAGAGGTGTCCACTATTTAAGGGTTCGAGTCCCTGTCAGGCTGCACATTTTTCTCACCCTGTGACATATTGATAAAATGAAATCAGGAATAGACAGTTTAAGAATTTCAGCAGAAGATGAAATATATGTATGATAGAATGGATGCAGTAGTTCAGTGGTTACACAAGGTCTTACTAAACATCCAGGGGTTGTAAGTTTGATTCCCTGCTATTCAAACTCTCTTTCAGAGGGTACTTCAAAATTGAGGCACTAACATGTTTCATCTTGTCCTCACCAAAATAGAAAAAAGACAGTGCCAAAATTGAAGGCCGCCAAGTCCATTTTGAGAATTCAGTAAAGGTAAATATGTTTTTTTTTAGAATAACAAGCAATATATAAGAAATATATAACATTACATCATTAAACCCGACATTCAAAACAAGAGCACAGCAAATTAAACCAGGGCAATACACACAGAATGCAACCTTGTAAGTAGCAATGATAAAAAAATCATTAAACTTTGATATTAAAATAATATTTAAATATACAATGTCATGTACCTCAAAAGCAGAAACAAGAGGGCCATGATCGCCCTAGACCGCTCACCTGACCCATCAATCTCATCCGAACAATTACCTAGACAAGCATTCTGACCAAGTTTCATGACAGGTGAGTCAAAAATGTGACCACTAGAGTGTTAACAAGGTTTTTCTATTTTTAGCTCCTGTGATCTAGTTTTTCATCAGAGATGATCCATGTTGGAACTCACCCGAGCAATGATCTAGACAAGCATCTTGACCAAGTTTGATAAGCTTTAGTCAAAACTGTGACCACTTGAGTGTTAACAAGGATTTTCCATACTTAGTTTTTGACCCCAGGTGACCCATATTTGAACTTGACCTAGAAATCATCAAAACAAACTTTCAGACCAATTTCTAGGATATCTGGATCGAAACATTAGCAACTAGAGTGTTAACAAGATTTTTCTATTTTTAGCTCCTGTGACCTAGTTTTTCATCCAAGATGACCCATGTTTGAACCCATCTGAGCTGAATTACCTGGACAAGCATCCTGACCAAGTTTAATGACAATTGAGTCAAAAATGTGACCGCTAGAGTGTTAACAAGGTTTTTCTATTTTAGCTCTTGTGACCTAGTTTTTCATTCGAGATGACCTATGTTCGAACTCATGCGAGCAATCACCTAGACAAGCATCCTGTCCAAGTTTGATGATGATTGAGTAATAAATGTGACCATTAGAGTGTTAACAAGGTTTTTTTTTATTTCTAGCTCCTGTGACCTAGTTTCTCATCCGAGATGACCCATGTTCAATCCCATCCGAGCAATCACTTAGACAAGCATCCTGACAAAGTTTGATGATAATTGAGTCAAAAATGTGACAACTAGAGTGCTAAAAGGTTTTTCTATTTTTAGCTCCAGTGACCTAGTTTTTCATCCGAGATGACCCATGTTCAAACCCATCCGAGCAATCACCTAGACAAGCATCCTGACCAAGTTTGATGATGATTGAGTCAAAAATGTGACCACTAGAGTGTTAACAAGGTTTTTCTATTTTTAGCTCCTGTGATCTAGTTTTTCATCCGAGATGAGCCATGTTTTTTTTGTGTTTTTTTTTTCCTTAGATTGGGTTTTATGTCACATGGACACAGTATAGCTTAGGTGAGCTAAAAAAATCATAATATATACATGTGCCTCAAAAGCAGAAAAAATCCATATTGGGCTTTCATCCACTTGCTTCATGACTGTAAAATACATTACAGTATGTACAGAGTACTCTTCCTTTAAGGTGACAACAGACACTTTCCGTGGTACTCACATAAATGTCATTTAAACCAAGTTATTTTAGTAATAATTGTTATTCATTTAATCTTTGTGCATTAAATGTCGTTGATCATCATAAAAAATAACATATTTGAAAAAAATGCCTTTGTAAATGATTGATTTTGAATAAAAATCCTAAAATTTTAAATCGTCATATCAAAGTCATTTTTTATTTTTTTGTCATCAAACTTTTGGAAAATAACCATACTTATATTATCTGGGGAACCGTGTCTCAAATTTTTTATATCTTTTCTCAAAAAAATATTACGTAACGTCAAACAAAATATGCGACTTTTTTCACCATACATATTACGTAATTAAAGATAATTAAGTCGCTGATTGAGCAAACAAAAATCCCTGACACGGTTCCCTCCGTAAATGAATTTCCTTTCATGTCTTGTCACGTGACTATCGGTAAAATTTGAGGCACTCAGTGGGGGCAAATGGAACACATTTGCGCACATTTGCGCACAGCTAGCGGGGTATTTAATTGTTTCCTATTTGAAGTTTATTATTATTATCATCAGCATTATTATTGTATTATACCAGTGTCACTCTGCCTGTGTATTCGTGTATGAAATTCCGTTAAAATATAAAATAAAATAACAAAAAACTGAGCTTCTGACAGTCTTTTAAAGTCCATGGTAGATGTACAAATAAGAACGGGATATTATATATTTTTTCCACCAAATTGATAATGCTTCACATATTTTAATAGAAATAAAAGGTATTACTCGATCATTATGATGTGGCCTTCTTGACTTCTATTATCATGAATATCATCTATGCACGGCATAGAGATCCAGTTTCTACCGGGATAGACAATAAATTTCATACTTTGTCCCAGATTTATTAGTACTGTGTCGGATTTACTGGCGAACAATTTATTTTCACTGAGAATATACTTTAATATCTCTTTTTATTCATAGAGAAATAATCATCCTTAGACAATCTAAAATGGTTTAGAAATTTGTCAGGGACACCTTACCACAAGTCATATAAGCGTTCACATAAAAAAATGTCGTCTGTTGTTGTTTTACTTGACATTGTTAGAAAACGAGGTTGAATGTAAAGTAAGCCCTTGAATCCGTACAAAAGTCTATCAACTCAATGTTATATATATCAGATTAACGGGATAGACAAATTATTTTCACACATTATGGATATTTTAGCAACTACATTTTTAATCAACCCCGTGGTCGTGCGATTTGCCGCTATGCTTAATTATTTATGTTTCATACATTATGTTACGTACATTGGCCGACAATTTCTTAATTTAATAAAAAGGCTAAATGTTGAGATATTCATAAAAGATGTACGGTAGATGAACGATACATGTATTACGAGAAGTATGGACCAGTATGGACATTCACGGATATATGGAACTACCGATTTCCCTCACTGATGCCTCAACAGGGGGCGGAGCGTTATCGATAATCGACAGGTTACGCGAATAGCAGATACAAATAGTATAGGTACCGTTTTAAATCGTTTAAAAACACATTTTTTGGACTAACTGCTTCCAAAATTAAATCACGAATGTGTTCAGAAAAGGTTGATAAATCTACTTAGCAAAAAATCTCATTTTAGGTATTTTCAGTGATAATTGACTCCGTTGTCACCTTAATGTATAATAAGAAAGTACTATTCTCCCTTGAATATTTTTTTTTAAATATAAAGATTTTAAATGACTATGTTCAAACTTGACCTTAAACTGAGGAGGATGAAACATGAGTTCTGCACACATTTATTGCCTCCTGAGTTAACATAAAAGATACAGAGCTGACAGAAAACATTGAAATTTACTCATATTATGATCCACAATGAGTAACATGAGTTGACCATGATCCATGGAAGCATAAACCTTTGTGCGGCACATCGTCTCTATGGTTAACATTTCAGTAAAATAGTTTCAATTTCATCCCATTCAAGCCGCTTCAAAGATGAAATACAAATTGTATTGAAATTCATAAATAATGACTAAGTGCAAAGTAGTTTTAATATCCATCCTGCAGTTATGGTATAAAGAAAGATAACTTACAGTGTTATTGTGTTACTTCCCTTTAATTGTTATATCTTAAATGCTATGTAGCATATTACATACATGTATATGAAATAAAAACATTATGAGCCAAAAATTCTTTCAGGCATATCAAAACCCTTCAGTGCATGTCATGATCATTAATACTGCATATAATCTGAGAAAATGAAAAAGTACATGTACATGTAATAATCTATGTAATGATTTACT